GCGAGGTGCTCACGTCGCGCACTTTGCTGTAGCGGTGATGCGCGGCTGCGAGCCAGGCTGTTGTCATCCGCCGGGACCCTCATGCAAAGGTGCCGCGCAACAGCTGAACTTGTCTGGATCACCCGGGACCTACGCGCCTCAAACTTGGCCATCACTGTGGACCTTACCTTAGGCCTCGAGGCCGGACAGTGGGGCGGCAAAAGCTTTGCATTAGCCGGTGGCAGCACAGCGGGCATAGCCCGCCAAACTCCGGGGGAAGCGTTGAGGACCATGATCGAAGAGTCTACGACTCATGGCTAATCACAGCTGGTGAGCAGCACTGCACCAGGCCACGTTGCCTTCCTGTTTCATGGAAGTTGAAGTGGCGGTTGCTTTGTGCAGCGGGGCACATTGCTTGAGCTCTCCATAAAGCGACCCTGGCTTGGGACCGCAGCTTATCGGGACCCTGAAGGTGCTTCTGAACGTGATGGTTAAAAGTCATAAAGGGAGATTTGGTGTCTTTGGGACTTGATTTTTTACCTGGTTGGGTAACGTTATGTGACTATCGTGTTTTCTCTGCTTGGGTGCCCTTTCCGCCTTGCTGTGATGGTCGTACTGTGCAGGCCGAATAGGCCTTCGTGTCCGCGAAGAGTAAAGAGAAGGGCAAAGGAGCTTTCGGAATGATCACGGGGATCTACCTCTGGAGCCATGTGAGGCGCGCAGGCTTCCACACTGTGGCTTTTCTTAGGTTTTTGGGGGCTTGGTTCGCTCCGCCCTCAGCAACAGGGTTGGTTTGCTAAGCTGGCTACAAGCGCCATTAGACTGTCAGCCATGTGGAACATCACTAGCAAGGCTCCAGGCTGGAGAGGAATGCACCTGGACTGGGCGTTCCACACCAACTTGCTGGATTCATGGCCGAACCACTGTTCTTGGCTATGGTGGGACTTTGGCGCAGGCGCAGAGGCAGTGGGCCCTTCCCCGAGCAGATCGATAGCTAACTGGCGCCTGAGCATCGTCTCGCAACTCTCCTTACCGGCCAGTCTCGACGCATCTCCTGGGTGCTCTGCTGGCTGGTGCGTCTGCGGAGCTGCAGCTGCCATGGAGACATCGGACGCTCATCTGCAGACTGCTATAGTCTTGCAAAAGGTTTGCGTGGAGCAGCGCGGGTTCGCCTCCAGCACGCTGAAGAGGCTGCCCAGGGCCAGTGCCCAGGGCACTCGAGATGGGTGGGCTGCGTACTCCAACAGCAAGCTAGACTGACTGACGGACTGACTGCAAGTGACGGGGCAGGCTTTGACTTGATTTGTGCGCGGAAAGGCGGCTTCATGTGCCCGCAGCTCGGATCAGCAAAGAGTTCGATGCATCAGAAGTGCTCGGCCAGCTTGCCTGCGGAGGCGTAGGCTCCGTTTCGAAGCATCACTGCATCGCAGCCTTAGGCCTGCCACCTTGAGCAGCAGGCGGCCACAAGTCCCGTGGGTTGATCTGCAGATCGGCGATTCAAGATACTTCAACTAAGTCAACGAATTGGCTTGGATTCTTGGATGGTACCTCCTCGCAGCAAGCTACCTGGGCAGACTAGCAGAGCTGCAGTCCGCTTCAAAGAACGTCAGCAGTTGTCATCGCCACCTGCGGATGGACCTTCTCCCGGCACGGCAGGAGTGTGTGGCCCTCAGAACCCTGGATTGCGTGAAATTTTTCCTGGCTAGGCAGACTACTGGCCCGGCAGGGTCTCTACGCGAGGAACGCAAGAACTGGTGTAGTGCAAAACTGCCAGCTCTTCCTCGGGTAAATCCCGGACGCCCTGTGATTCGGAAGACGCGCAGCATGCGTTGGATGGAAAGCGCGGATCTTCCACCTCCACCAGGAGGAGTTTGCTTCAGTCTCGCCAAAGTTCGGAAACAGGCGAAAGGACCTTTGCTATCAGTTCTGCTAGCTTTGGCTCAACTTGAGGTCTTGCTTTTGCATCTGCAATGGCAGCATCAGCCAGTTGGGACAAGTTCATGGCAAAGCACGGCCTTCAGCGCTACTATAGACATGCATGTGAGCAGCAGGGGTGATTTGTTCTAGACGTGCCAGGCTGTGCCTTTGGAGTTGAAGCAGCCTGCAGACATGTGCGGACGCTAGCTTAGCCTAAAACTGGAACCTGCTGACTGGAGAACTTTAGAACGCGACGCGCTCTTCCTAGCATCATCTTGTCCATCCATCTAGCGCAGGAGGCTCCGGTGATTGTCACCACAACCACTGCGTTAATGAGGTAGGCGAAGGTCATGCTCCCCCAGCTGCATATCAGTCAGCAAGCTGCTGGATTATGCCTGCAAAGTTCCTGCTTGCGGATGGGGCAGTTCACGCAGGAACTTTGCAGGGGAGGTCTCAGCTCCTTGCGGTGGCTCGCACCCGCTGGCTGCAAGTCCCCAACATTCCACTGAACGGTGGCTGTACATGACACCATCGTGCCAACACACATGTCTGGGCAGTCATCCTATGCGCATCTCCGCGGCAGGATCCAGGCGGAGTCCTCCTCTGCACTCTGCACACTCTCCTCGAGCCCCGTCAGGTTACGGAGGATTCCCAGCCCCACAGCAGGCACCCGAACTCCAGCGGACTCCAGCGCTTCCGCCACGACGCTGGAGCTTCGCGCCGCGCCCTTGCGGCACAGAAGTGGGCCTCAGCTACAAAGAGCCGCACCAGCCGCATGTGGGGGAGCAATCAAGAACGGGGCTCAGGGGTCATGCGGGCCACGGTGAATCCAGTGAAGTAGGGCCTGAAAGAGAACCACACTGCCGATTGACTGCGGGCTTACATCAAGCAGCAACAGCTGCGCTGAGCTGACCCGCCTGCAGTTCTACGGGGCTCCGGGGCTCAAGGGCTCAAGGGCTCAAGGCGAGCGTTCCCGGTAGGTCTCGTGGCACGTGGAACTGCGTGGGATCCTGTTCGAGCCGGTGTCACACCACCACGCCAACCTGGCTCACGCCAGACAGCAAGCATCCAAGGAGTGTAGGACAGGCTTTGCTGTGGCTAAGGTCGATCGATCCTCCCAAGAAGTCTGTGAAAATGCCACCACGTCAGCTGCGCCCGCTCTGCTTGCCTGTTATGGGTCTTCCAGCGATAAGCGGCCGTTCGCAAGGGCACGAAGAAGAAAAGAAGAACCCGAACGCAGACTCCACAGTCGTGCTGGAATGGCTTGACTCGGCCGGGACGGGCTTGAAAGCTTCCCCCGTTGTCACGTGACGGGTGCTTTCACAGTTGCAAACGCTGCAACCACCGCGCTCGTCGGACAGGCAGAATGACGGGAAGTGCTGGACAGGGCCACGCCTTCACGAAACATCGGGAGCCACGGCGTAAAAACGTTCCCACCTCTTGCGACCAGGGCGACACCCAAGCTTCACGAACGAGGTCCGGTAACTTTTTGGAATGCTTAGGACTTAAGATGAAGCAAGGCCAGCAAGGCAGCTGACTTCAAGCTGGCAGTTGATTCCCATGACGGACCACGCATTGCGGATCTGGGTGTCCCCTGGTGCCCGAAGGCCACCTCACGAAAGGCGACACAGACTCGCCTTGACATGAAGAATCATGAGAATCATGGAGCATGGCCCCAGCTCAGGAGATGTTGTCTTCAACTTGGCTTAAACTGCAACAGCGGTGGCTACCTGCGTTTTCTTGCAGAAAAGGATGGGTCTGTGACATGAACACTCAGGCATTCTGAGAGCCTTGACACCCCCCCGAGTGGCCTGACCGCAACATCTGAGGGCGGCACCAAACAGGGGGGACAACACGGCATCACTAGAGCCACTTGAGCTACAGGCCAAGCTGCGTCCGACACCCGGTGATGCAGGATGCGTCCATCCCGACAACACGGCAGAGAGCATGGACGGCCATCGGGCGAGGCCCCCGACACCCGCGTGAGTCTCCGGCGCCCCGCGAGATCTCAAGCACCACGCTTGTCCATGGGTCGTAACACGACGTAAGAAGAACCTGACGGACCCAAGAATCATGAAGACACAACTTGCAAGTAGTAGGCACAAAAAAGAACCTGCAGGACCTAGCCAGGAAGCTCCTGGCTAAAAAATGAAGTCTGTTGGAGACGCTTCGGAAAGAAACAATATCCGAAGCGTGCCAAATCGCAGTATGATTGTGCTTGGGGCGATGGCGGGCAGGCAACAGCGAGCAACCATGGACGTGCCGGAAAGACCTCAGGAAGTGTCGAAACCACAGTTTCTGGAACTATGCTGGGGTTCCAGAGCTGGCAGTATTCTTGCTGCAGCCATCTGACCGCAGCCAAAGATCACAACATCGGTCAGATGGGACCTGTGAAAGTCAAGCACGTCTCGCTTTGACCGGGGAGTCTACGGCCCGTGGCAGCTTCGTGAGCTCCGTGTCTGGCCGAGCTTGCCGAAACCAAGCAAGCTCGGAAGACACCAAGCAAGCTATGCATGTACTGTGAACACCTCAGCGCGTGTTGAATTGCAGCCTGCCCGGAACATGCTGACGCAATCGGGTATCGACTAGCAGTGCTCGCGCTCTATCATCTGAGACTCCAGTTGAGCTTCAAATAGCAACATCCGTCAGGTTTGACCTGTGAAAGCCAGTCTGTGCTTTGGGCACTTTGGTACATGATCCCTGTGCTTTGGGTGCTTGGGTACATCTACCCACATGCGGGTCAAGACAAGACTAAACTACTGGCGCAAGGCCGATCCTCGCGACACGTGCAGACATGCCCATTGGCATCCCGTGGCAAATGCCAGTGTGCGCTTGCGCCCCTAGCGCATCTCAGCGAGGCAACATCGTCAGGGAGCATCTGGGCAAGCCTCCCTCGGGGCGCCGCCGCATGCTGGCCGAGGCCCGCTCAACAAGAACCGGCCCGCCAATTCAGAGGGCTCGCCGCTCCGGCGCAAAAAGTCTATAGGGCATGTACACACATTCACCCTGCTCTAGCGGCTAAGCCTGCCCACGAAACCGGGCAAGCTAGGAAGTTGAGACGAACATGCCCAAAACACCTTAGCATGTGTTGAAGTGCAGCCTCTTCCACCTATACTGGGGCAACCTGGGATGGAAGAATAGCAGCGCTTGCGATCCGTCTGAATGGGGCTGCAGATCACAACATCAGTCAGTTGGGACCTGTGAAAGCCAGCCCGCAATGCTTTGGGTGATCGCGGGAGCCTATCCACAAGCATGGCGTCGTGATCGAGCTCTGCGTTTGATTAATTTTGTTGTCGGAGTTGAGCACCGGCGAAAGGTGCAACGAACGTGCGTCAGATGCCTAATTGACAGCCTTCCTGAATTCTGCTGTGACCATTTGTGAATGGTGCTTATGATGGAATGCAATTGCCATTCTCACAATGGCGCAAAACACGGGGATAGATGGACTAGCAACAGTCACGCTCCGATCTCCTCTGCCTGGAACAGACTACGAACCTTTCTGGCGATTGATAGCCGCAGTTGGGGTCTGGACACGTGGAACGATACAGGATGCCAGTTCAAATTAAAATTGCGTGGTTGGAAGCCCTTGGAACTTAAGCCCACTTCCAACGAACCGCTTCTTGACGTCGCGCATGCCCCGCATCTGCAATGCAATCCAGAATCCACAGGATGCAGCTGCGAACCGCGCTAGCCAAAACTTCAACTTTCATTCGACTCTGCCAGCAGTTAGTTTGCATTTGCGCAAGGACGGAAGGGCTGTTGACACTGCAGATTGACTGATGTGATCCAATCAGTACTTTGAACTCGACGTCCGCGGATTGCACTCTCGCCAGAATTTAAGGGAATGCCACCAAGCTTCATGTTAGCTTGCCCCATGCAGAACAAGTCAAGCTTGTTGAAGACATTTGACTGACGCTGCGAAAAAATCACAAACTTAGATCATCTTCTGCAGTGCGCGACCACCATGATAATAAGCTTACTAAGCCTGGGAACTTGATGGATAGCTCAGACGATGCCTCTCGCCACACATCAGACTCGTCAGACGCAGGTGTTTCCAACCCATCAAACACGCAGGCCTAAGCTGCGTTTCTGGATTCCTCCTAAGCAGTCCAACTTGCATTCTTCTGCACATGACTACTCTCTTGCAACTGCTGCAGTTCAGGCTGGCAGGGCTCGCGCTGCGGCCATCTGACTGCTGCAGATCACAAGGTCAGCTGGGGACCGGTGAAATGGTCCAGGAAGCCACAAGCATGGATTCCTGATCGAAGTCCTCTGACCAAGCTTGCGGAGCTTGCGGACGAAGATGGGCGAAGGCAAAAGGCGCAACGGACGGGTGGCAGAGGCTTAATTGAGCGCGACCGTCCCGAGTTCTGCTGTGACCATCTGTGCATGTTGCTTGCAGCAAAGAGTGGCAAGTGATGGCAATGAAGAACTCACGGCAGGCATTGGCCGACAAGACTCACACTGTGATCTCCTCTGCCTGGAACAGACTACAAAACACTCCGGCGATTGATAGCCGCAGTTGGGGTCTGGACACGTGGAACGATGCAAGATGCCGGTTGAGATCAAAGTTGCGTGGTTGGAAGCTCTTGGAACTTAAACCCTCTCTGTAGTGTCGCCTGCGCATGGTGGCACCCATTGCTGTCTCTCTCCGCCACATCGCTCTCCAATGAAGAGCTTCTTGCGCATGCCCCGCATCTGCAATGCAATCGAGAATCCTCAGGATGCAGCTGCGAACCGCGCTAGCCAGGACTGCAACTTTCATTCGACTCGCCAGCAGTTTGCATGTGCGCAAGGACGGAAGGGTGCGATGCAATCAGTACTTTGACTCAACATCAACAGGCGCGGACTGACTCTCGCCAGCATTAAACGGAATACCACCTCTTGGCTTCAACAGCAAACCTACATAGGTGGTGTTCAGACGTCAACCGGTCCTTTGCAAAGCGGGCTTTGGCAAGATGCAGGTTGCTGGCCTTGCTCCTCTGGGTACACTTTTCACAACCACACTGAACAAGAGCAGTAGTACAAACGCGCCGTGCTGCTTGCACGATGCTGCGATCAGGGAAGTAAAGGACTCAACCTGTTTGCAGGGCTCGTTGAACAAGTCTGCTGACCAACTGCATCGATGTGCCTCATTAGGCGCGGGGCACACGTTGCACGAAGCAAGTCTGCCGGACACTCAGAACCTGTCCAATCAAGCCTTCTCGATGAAAGCAACGAGCAGTAATGGAAGATGAAGATTGCCATAGATATGTTGGCACTCCAAGGAAATCCAGCCTGGATGGATGGTTCTCTGCACGGCGGTGGCGGGACTGCTGCCTCCAGGTTGAAGCCTCACATGCGCGATCCAGCTCTGGTGGGAGACCACTTCATCTGAAAAGGTTTTGGTATTGTGGACTCACGTGGTCAGGTGGACTCACCCAACACGTCTTGCGCATGTCTTGGAGCTTTGCGGAGCTTTGTGGCACCCGCAAGCACCTTCGTGCCAGGTTGGACACCAAAGTTCCTCAAGACTCGTTAACAGAGACTTCTGCAGTAGTGATGCGTTGGTTGGAGCCGGTTTGCTGACCCAGACTCTAGGCCCCAGACAGACACGCCACAGCTTGAGATTTGTAGTAGGCCTCATGGCCGAGAGGATGAGGGCCTTCGGTCCGGACAACCCCAGCCAATTTGTAGAGACAGGCTGACTGCTCCGCCTTGCCTTGTTCGGCAAGTGCTCCGTTCAGTTCGTCTGGCCCAGGTACTCCCGACAAGTGTCATGGAAGATGGTGCTTCAGGCACGAAGCGGAACGCAGCCTCCTGAGGTATCCAGCTGAGACCACAGCACCCCTTCAAGCGTTTGCAGAGCCCCAGTCGGTTGCGCCTGTGGAAAGCCACGAGATGTGGGGAAGAACGTCTGCACTGGCCCATTCTGCCACATTGCAGCCCGAGAGCATGTGCAAAATGGAAGTTCATGGAAGGCCACGTGGCGGTGAGGCGGCTGCGTGCGTGTTTCAAGGCTGCAGAACTGGCTCAAAGTCACCCGCAACACCTTGGAGGACTTCCTAGTGCTTGTCAGCTTCTAGCGACTCAACTCTGCTCAAGCGACTGCACTGCAGAGGCCTGGCATGAGTATCTGCAGAGCTTGGCAAAAGGGCTCGGAATCCTGCCTTGAGTGGAAAGCCCAGACGCATCAGAACCAGCGGACAGTCCCTGATGAGAGCCCTGGCTTCTTGTGCGGGGTCGCCGCTGCAAAAATCTGCGTGCAATCGCCTGGATGTCAGCCCTCGGAGCGCTCGGAGCGCCCCGCCCCCATTACCGGGAAGATGCGACCGACTCCAAGAGGCTGCCATCCGTGTCAGGACCTCGTTAACTTGAACTTGAACTTACTTGGGGCCGGAGTGGACCGCTCTTGGGACTGGAAGAGCAGCAGAGTTCAGAATGCGCTGCGCAAGGCAGCAGGTGAGAGCGACGGAATGTTGAGAAACCCAGGACGCATGAGGGCCAGCGGACAGTCGCTCATGAGAGTTCTGGCGACTTGTCCGGGGTCGCTGTGGCCCGGGAAAGACGCGAGAAGTCGCCTGCACTTCAAATCTTCGACCGCGTCAGCCAGTGAGCAAGCGACGGACAGTGACCGACAGAGGCTGCCATCTGTGTCACCTCGTTGCCACACTTGAACTTGCCGCACCTGGCACCTGGAGTGGACCTTGGGACTGGAAGAGCAGCGGAGTTCGAAATGCATTGTGCAAGGCAGCACGCGAGAGTGATGGAATGTTGAGAAAGCCCAGGACGCATCAAGGCAAGCGGACAGTCGCTGACTTGTCCGGCGTCGCTGTGGCCCGGGAAAGCCACAAGAAGTCGCCTGGACGTCAAGCCTTCGACCGCGTCAGTGAACAAGCACCAGACAGCGACCTGTGTGAGGCAGGACCTCATCTCTGGACTTCGGAGGGGATCCTTCTAGCGGTTAGTCTACGCTCGGGACAGCATGCATCGGTCGTGAACGAGTCAACTCCCCTCAAGCACCTCAGCGCTCAGGGAGCGAGAAGAGAAAAGAGAGAGACAGAGATGTCGCCGCTGCAGAATCGACACCCCCGAACGCCTCCAGTCGCCAGCATTTGGCGGCCTCACAAAGTGCGTTGGCCGGAGCGTGAAGTTTGAAGCTTTGCGGGCCTGTCAGCATCCGAACGTTTGCTTCCGGAAGCCATGCGGAGGCGCAGGTACTAGCCCGTCAGAAGCACACCCAGCTAGGTCAGCAAATGAACCTGGAATCCGGGAAGTTGCTGCAGCTCGAAGTAGCTGCTGCAGCTCGAAGTAGCTGTGCTGGATGGGCTTGGTCATCTTCATCCGGAAGGGACGCTATGCTGCGCAACGTTGCACAGTGACACAGACCTGCGACTTGAGAAGCTGCCTGCAAACGCTAGAGCAAGGCAATCATCCTGTGGCGCGGCCAGATTCACATTCAACTGTATCGGAACTTGGAAGACTAGACAGCTGCACGGCCTTTGAGGTACGAGGCGGTGGCCTCAAGGCGCGTTCAGGGAGACCGGCAGCCCCTTGAGATGTCCGGACCGCCTTGCATCGAACATAGCGCCAGACACGGCCCCTGAACTCCGTAAGATACGTTGATTACACACCATCGGAGATCCTGCAGCGGTTGGACAGTGCCATGCGGCCGTGCTGCCTAAGGAACTCTGAGAGCCACGCGGCACCCACGTTCGAAACGTATGCCAACACGATAAGGTGAAGGTTTCGGGCTGACAGATGCAGCCTGGACTGACATGGCGGTGAGCCTGAATCGAGCCAACCAACCACTGAATGTGGCTGCCTGCCGGAGATTGTTGCTCCCGCTGAATGCAACGAAGCCCACCAGTCATTCATTGCCGCAGCGGCAGAGCCTCACACCCTGTGTAGCTGCATCGGAGTACTCGACACAAAAATCCTTGCTAATAGCAGCCTAGAAGTCTTGCTGTACTGAAGAAGGCATACTCGAAAGCTCGGCTGATGGAGCATTACAACGTGTCTAGGAAACATCAGACCAGGGCCTTGGAGCTAAGACGGTGCAGAGACAGTGAGGACTCGCAGTGCCTGCGTCAATGTCCGCGCAGCCCCAAATAGTTAACCGTTTACCAGTTTATGAAAGGCATGAACTCTGCGCTGGATTGGCCATATCAGACAAAGCCTCGACTGCAGGATGCGTTTTCCAATTCTGACATACATTTGTAGCGGCATGTCTTCACACTATCCCTGTGGCGCGCTGCTCTGACCCATGAGGAATGGATCTAGGATTTACAGAGCGCGCTGTTTCACATTTACATGGCGGCCGAGCAAATGGCGAAACTTTAGAAGGCAGGCTCAAAAGGAGAGTTGTTAGAGGAGGTCCATGAGGTGAAACGCCAGCAAGGGCTCCTTGTATGGGTTTCCAGAATTGCAGCGCGAGCAGAGTCAGAGCGCTTCGAGCGCCTCGACTGCCTCGAGCGCCTCGCTGGGAGCCTGGATCGTCGTGCTGGCACACAGAACGGACAGAACGGCAGGTTGCTCGACAGATGGGCAGCAGGACAATGTAGCGATGGCAGCGAGGCTGTCGCCTGCCTGGCAATGACTCAGAATGAGGCCAAGGGGCTGACGCAAGCCGTTGGCAAAAGCCACAGGGGCAGCAGTACGGCATGAGCACCGTCCTCGCAGCTGTCAGCACAGGCTGCATGGCTACATTTCACAGCGTATGACCGTTGGACCTTGGGAAGCCGAGAGATGGTGCTGCTGGAACGGAGCGGAAGCCAGCACAGCCGCGGAAGCGCCGCCAGTTTCATGGCGAACGGGGCCAAACCTCCAGTCGGCTGCGCATACCCTGCCTGTGAAGGGCGAAATAGCTCCTGCGGCAATAGATACACTAGGATCTCTGTATTGATGGTGATCGTAATTGCTTCCGAACACATATCCCTCTTCAGCACTCGCAGCAAGCAAAGCTGGCGGTTCTCAGCAGCCCCTTGTTTCAACTTCCTACGACTGACTGGGGCAAAGCGAAGCAGAAGTCGCAGCCGGCGGACAAGTCCCGCAGAAAGGCTGGCGACATGCGTTGCGAACGAGAAACGCTGCTGCCAAGCGGTAGGGCGCCGGCGGCTGGACGCTCAGCTGCAATGTCACGGAGGTCAGGACAGTCAGCTTCCCTCTCGATGGCTCACAAAGTTCTGATGCATTCTAACGGCTACAAAAAGTGGCGCCGCTCAGTGCAAGCACACCGACTTCGGCCCGGTGCAGGCGAGTCAGCTGGCACAGGCACTTCAGTGACCCAGGTGCGGAGTCCAATGGAAACGCCGGTGCTCAGGTGTTCCGGGCCCGGAGGCTGTGGCTAACGGTGCCTGCTGCAGTGCTGAGAGAGAGGAGGCTGGCAAAGCACCAGCTGCGAAGTACGCTTTGGACTGCCTCAGGATTAGGATCTCAGTGCAGACCGCCTCTGCAAGCGCCCCTTTGACTCTCGGCCTGAAGCTCTGCCTTTCCCTCGCAGGCATGAGTTCCTGGGACGGCTCTGGCGAGCTGCCCTTGCCGCACGCGCCTGCATTGACCTGGCTTGCTCTGACAGCACAGATGCGCGCGGCTCGCGCGGGATGCCAGCCGTGGCAGGCAAAGACTTACCCTGCCCTCTGGCTAAGCGATGCCAGGAACCCAAAGCTGCACCTTCAATTTATTGGGCATCGTTTCATCCTTGCCTGCAGCCTGGCGCGGCGAACGAGGCAGACTCGTCCAGGAGCCAAGGAGAAGCAGGTACCGGCTATAGGAGCACGGCCTGCCGCCGCTGTTGCAACACGGGGAAGCCGAGCAGCGCGAACTGCACAGCACGTGGTCAATGCCCGGCTGTGAGCCCAGGTGACCTTGTTTTGGGGCCGTGGCTGTTGCTGCGGGTCTGCAGTGCAAGCAATGCTGGGCTCTACCGACAGGCGGATTCAGCCAGCGTTGCACGCATGACTTGTGTAGCAAAACGCGTAACGGCCAAAAATGCATCGGTCAGGTCGCATAAGCTCAGGACTGACGCCCGGTGCAGAGCTGGCGGTACACAGCACGCCATCAGGTCACTGCTACTCGTGGTGCAGGCTTTTGAGCTCTTTCCCCAAAACAGCCGTTGCTGTGTGAGGAGAATGCAGAACCCGCCCCCACCCTCGCCTGCTGTAAAGCTTTTGCACAAGCCGGGCACGATCTCTGAACTCGTGCACCGGGGCGCGAAGTGAAAGAGCCCAGGCTCGCATGGGCCTGGCAAACGACAAAGGATGTTTCATCTTCAGTGCAAGCTGCGCCCTCGCAACCGGCCCAGGGGCCCTTCGCTCACCTGCTAGCCGTAAAGGTCCTTCTTGCACTGGGCACCAAGCAGCCATCGCCCTGTGACGAAGACGCAAGCAGCACCCGCCCCTCGCGCGCCTGTGTGGCTTGCGCGTGGGGCCGGGCCCTATCTCACCTCAAGCAAGGCTGCAAAAGGCCAACAGCCGCGGGCCGCTGTGGCTCTGCAACGGCCGCAGTAGACGCTGGCCACTGAGCCACTGAGCCTAGCAATGCCTGGCACTTGGAGCTCCCAAAGCGACAGCCTGGCCAGCTTGGCAGCTGAAGGGACTGAAGGGAGAACGGAGCAGGGGCGCTTGGCAGCTGAGCCTGCGTGCTTACTTTTCAAGACAACCTCAGACGATGTATCAGATGTATCAATACATATCAACACGATACACAGCCAAAACCAAGGACTTACAGGGGATGCCTACACTGCTATCACACCGCCCTCCGACGGCAGGGTTGTCAGATCAGGCTCCGGCCAGACCAGGTTCCGAAACTCGAGCCCTGCGCTCCAACTCGACGCAGAACTATGGCAGGAGGCGGGCTCCAAGCGTGTTCCGTCATTTCAGTCTGGAATTCTAGTTTTGCAGTGAAACCTGCAAATCCAACTTTGGGGTCGTCAGAAGAGAAAGATCAGCGGCGTCATATGGAACCCACCAGGCCAGCCCCAAGTCGGCGTCACTCAGTTCCAGCCTGGCCCAAGTGCGTGGACGACCTGCGGGCCGTTGAGGCACCACCAGGCAAGCACTTCGGCGCAGGCACGGCAAGATTCCTCTAGGGCCCTCCTGGGCAGCGGCTGAACGTGTACCTGCAGAAGCACACAGCTGCAGAAGCTGCATGTCGGCCAGGCGACCCGTCTGCTCGAGCTCTGGTGATGTGCTGCATGATGTCAGCGCAGCCGCGAGGGGAACCTCAGCCCACTCGGAGCGCAGCGAAGCTCACGCAATAGCTCACGCAATGTGTGGAAGATAAGAGGCTGAGCTGAAGCTTATGACCCCTCACATCATGCTGCCAGGCGGGGGCCCTGCACTGGCACTGAAAGAGACAGGAGCTATGAAGCGCGATACACACTTACAAGCAGGACAACTACCAGAAACGCGCGAAGCGTCATTCCGCTACGCAGACTAAGGCCTTCTTCGATATGCAACAGTGCAACAGCTCCTGCGAGCATAGATCTCTGCGCGGACCGGGATCGGGCCCCTTTGCAGATCTACAGGGGAGCAGCAGCTTTTCGAGGTGTAGCTGACAACGCGGGCCCTGAGAATAAGGCTGCGTCAGTCAGTTTGGATGTGTCTCTAGGTTCTCGCTGCTAACAGTCACAGATAGTGACATAGCTTTACCTGTGACCTCAACTACCTACAGTTTATGTTACCCCTTTGAGAGGCGGTTGAAACTGTAGAGAACTGGGGCCAGAAGTACTCAGCTGCAGCTTCCTGAACCTGTCGAGGTCTGTCGCCGGGGCAGCATGATGGACGACACAGCAGTTTGAAAGCTGACGGGTCCTGCAGGCAGAAGCAGCTTCAGCTTTTTTGCTACTTGTTCGAGCTTGAAAAAGCCCTCAGTGAAGCGGCTTGCGGTGCTGCAGTTGCGGTCTTATGTTCAAAGATTCTGCCCGTGGTCTGTAGCTGCTGTTAGCTTCTACCAAAGCACAAGCCTTCGAGGAGATCAGGCTCTCCACTAATGGCTGCACCCGTCCTAGAGCGCTGCTCGTACTTTCAGGCCCATGCCAGCTGAAACGGGAGAGCTGCCACCCTAGGAACTTTGCCTCGATGGCGAAGTAGCGGTGCCTGAGAGCTCCCTGGAACCTTTCGACGCGTGCAGCGGATGCAGCGGCCGCGACCGGACTTTGCCACGCATCTGGGCATCATGCTTTAAGAATGAAAGCATGCAAGGCTTGACAGCTACAAATGCAGAAGACTGGCATTCTTGGAGCGCCTGTGAAGCAGACCTTGAAGCAGGAAGATGCTTTCATGCCGCGCCGCGTGAGAGCCAAACGACATCAGCGTTACGGACAGGCTGGAGCCTATGGTAGGTCAGGCGCTGTCTAGTCGGATGGAAGGGCCGAGCAAGGTAAGGTTGAGGAGTTGCGCGGGTGCACCTTGCGACCTGGAAGGCACAAGCTGGAAATCCAGAAGGCAGCAGTCTCTGCCTGCCTCGCCTCGTGTGCATGTCTGCCAACTGAATGCTTCCTGATGCGCACATGGCCGTGAAAGTGACGTTCATGAGTGGTCACTTGCATTTTGTGGAAATCATGCCACTAACCAAGAAGCTTCCATAGCGGCCATAGTGTGCTCAACTGACACACAGCGTCGCGCGCTCTGCATGCTCCGCAAAGTTGCGACCCTTCTGCGATCCGGCACTTGCTGCTGGAGCCCAACACGGGCGTTGCGCACAAAAATCGTCGGCATGTGGCTAGGGCCTTGTGGCCTCGTTGCTCAGCTGCGGCCGCTTGCGTGCAGCAGGGTACTACGGGTACTACGGGTGTTTTACAAGCCTCTCAAGCCATCCAGCACAGCAAGGTCACCATCGAGCACTCTCGAGGCCCCCTTCAGGATGCGAAACTCACACGTGCAGCTAACATCTGACTGTCCGGGCAGCCGGGCGGGCAGCCGGGTGATCACGAGCATGCACTTACTCCCCCGGTGGCCTTCTGAGGAGAGCTTTGTCAAAGTGTGCAAGAAAGGGAAAGATGGTCTCTGAAGGCAAAGGTTGCGCAGCTGTGGTCAGAACATGTCAGAACTCAACTAAACCCAAGTTCAAAACAGCCAGGCCAAGCCATGAAACCACCTCCACAGCTCTCCTTGCACAGGCAACCACCGGCCCGGCTGCTCAGCCCCTTCGGAGCGCTCTGCAGAGACAGGGCAGCTCTACGACTCTACGGGATGGCTTGAGGCGGCTCTAGCTTGAGCCACTTTGGCCACTTTGGCCACTTTTGCCACAGTCTGATGGTGGCTGAAAAAATTGCTGAGCATTGCAGAATCCTCGGGAGGAGTCCCTGGAGTCTCTCCCAGTTCCCAAATATTGTTCAAGCTCCGGGGGTTGCTTTGGCAGGAAGGCGAGGAAGGCGATGCACGAAGCGGGATCCCTCGTCCGGCTTCGTCGACAAGCCCCGCATCATGATCACGCAAGTGGCCATGTCAGCTCTCCGGACAGGTGCAATGGAGCGACAGGCGACCCACATGAGGGCCACGCCGTTACCCTCGGCTACAAGGACAGCATCGAAGGCGCCCGCACAGCAGAAGGGCAGCCAGCAATCCGGAGCACACGAATTGCAGCATGCCTGAGCTGCGATGGAGCGCGCACGGCTGCTGCCTATGGTAGGTGCTCCTGTGGGGCGTCGACGGCACAGATTGCAGCCGCCACAGACCTTGAGGCCAAAGGAGTTCAACGTTCCTGCCTGCTGTCCGTGAAGGCTGCTTACGTCATATACCACAATGCCACAAGGCCTGCTTTCGATGTGGCGTACGCGCTGGCTCGAACAGCATTTCCTGAGCGCAGTCAGCGGATAGCAGCTGGCACATGTGCCACAAAAGCTGGAGTGTGATGGCAGGCCCCTTCGTTCTGGGTCGTCTTCCAAAGCTGTGCCGACTCCCAGCTACACACGGGTCCCTTCCTTCTAGGGGCGCCCTCTGAACACTTGGCCTGGGCTGGAGCACTGTGCAGCACAGGTCCAAGAGATGTTGGTGACATCCGGGGTTAGGATAGGTTGTCGCTGCGAACTCCTTGTCGAACACCCCCAGGCGTCTTTACTGCAAGGACAGACGGTCATTGGATTATGCGCACCTCTGCACGGCCCCACATGGTGGCTACACCAAGTGGTGACAAGCCCTTGCTTTGCCTCCAGAGACGGTTGCCCCTCGGCCTTCCCCGCAAGGGCAGAGCCGGCAGAGCCTCACACTCGGCAGACTTGCCCCAGAGCACTTCCCAGAGCGGCGCAAGAGCTGATGCGGATCACACCTGAGAGGGCTGATGCGTTTTCGGATACTCTACAGCTCGGCTCGAACATCATGACGTGTCACAGGAACAATCAGGCCCCAAGGGTACGCACGGTGGCCTGACACAATCAGGACTTGCGAATAACTGCACCAATGATGTCGTGGCAGCCCTCAGTGGGTTAAGGATAGCTCAGGGTTTGCGGGCTGTTCCACGACATGAATTCATGAGGACTACCTGATCTTCAAAGCAGCTGCTTTGAAACGACATCTCAGCGAAAAGGAATGGATCACGAACTTACTTGATGAGCTTCTGCCCTGATGCCACGTGTAGCACGAAGCGAAACTTGAGCAGGCGGTCAGGGCGCATGCGGCTTGGCGCAGAAGCTGATCAGCCCCCTTGTAGCGAGAACATGTGAACAAAAGCAAACCGATTCTCCATGATTGCTTTTGCGAATTCCCTATGCTATGGCAATTGTGCATGTTACCGACAACAGCAACCCAGCTCGGTAGGCTGTTGCCCGATGAGGTCATGCGGTCTCCATCACTGCCCCATTGCACACGGCTCTCAGCGAGAAGGAATTGATCGTCGGCTTCCTTGATGAGCTTCTG